AAGTTTAAACGACAGACGCCCCCAACTATTTTTATCCTTTCATCCTCACTTTAGTTTGTTGTTTAAATATCAATTTAAAAAATAACAATGTTAACTCTTTTTTTCTTTTGATGGGATAACAATATTAACTCTGCTTTAACATTTTTAAGTTAAAGCATTTGCGGAAAAATGAACTAAAACATTAACCAAATTAAAGTAAATTAGGTACCAATAAAATTAAGAGGAGAGAAATTTTTTTTTGGGGATCATATTAGGAAAAATTAAAAAAAGGCTAATGAATTACTCCACTAGTACTATTTATATGGCAGAAAGAAAAAATATTTTTTGATTCTATTTATAGGACATTGAGAGAAATTTTTTTGTATGGATTTACAATTTTACCCTTCATTTATTATTGTATTGATTTTTTTACATGAGATATAATATACTTCATGTAAAATATGTTGGTATACTAAATATGAATAAAGTTGGAAAGTTGTTGAGTTTTAAATGAGAATTAATGAAATTTAAGATTTTTTTTTGTTTGCATAAAATATGTTAGAAGTCATTTATAAATATGACAAGAGAAGTAGGAATTATTCCTAGCCAAAGTTGATGAATGAAACTGAAACTGAATATACCATCAAAAGGACCAAATTAAAATTAAGTGAAAATCAACAAAGGAAAATGAAACCGAAGGGGACCAAAATTTCCACATCATAATTAAATGCTTGTGAGAAAAATTCAAAATCTTGTAACAAAACGGCACAATTTTCAAATTAAGAGAGAGTGATGATTTTGAAATTAAGGAACACCTAAGGAAAGGAAATGAAAGTGGTGGTGAATTAATTAAGACATTTATGAAGGGGGCAGTTAAGTGAGAAGCAGTTTTGGGAAATGCAAGAGTCCTGTGACTGCATTTAAATACAAGGAAGCCTTTTCAATGGCTTTCCAAACTGTATAAACCAAACCAACCAGCCTTTCCAATAGTAGTATATGCACAGTATATATATTATTAGTATGCTTTGGATTTATTGTGGATAGTGACACAAATTGGCAACGTTTTGATTGTTCGTTGGACTCTCCTAGCAAAAATGCCATTAGCCCTTCAGTTAATCCTGAAAAGAATTGCTTTGTAATCCAACTTGGAATTTACTTAATGAAATTTGGATTATTTAAAATCAAATCTGAATGGTTTAAATTTAAAGTTTTAAATTTATAATTTGCTAATGATAAATTTATTTTTTTTACAAAAAATTTTGGTTATAAGATCATTTTTATTTTAAATTATGTATTTATTAAAATAAAAAAATCAGATTGAAAAACATTTAAATCAAATATAAACAATTTAAAATCAATTTCAATAATCTAGATTATGATGAGCACTCGATGCTCATACAAGTTAACTTGTTTTTTTTTCCCGCTTTACGCCAAAAAAGTTTTCTTAAACTTAAGTTATTGTTCACGTATAACTATGAGGTTATTTTTACTCTCAAAGTTAATTATTAGTTATATATAATATTTTACAAAATTATATTAAAGAGTATAAGTAGTTTTTTTTTCCAAAAAAGACTATAAATAGTCTAATGGTTTTTTTTTTGGTGGGGAAATCAAGTTATTTTAGGTTCTAATCCTACCAAGACTTCATGTATAACCGAATCTCCTGCGATTGGTGTAGAGAGGTTAAAAATTTTATGATAAAACAGAGATATTTTGGTAATGGAGACTTTACTAGCCATTTGTACATTTCATAGGGCCGTTTTTTGTATTTAAATTGCATGGGACTTCAAAATAATTTCCCAAATTGTTTGTTGAAAATGACAATAAAATTAATTTTCTAATCCGAAATAAAAAATTTGTTGAAATTAAATTAATGAGTTGACGAGGTACACTGGCCGGCAGATTGCCCGTGGAATGAGGGAAGCTCATGGCCGCCATATGGCAGGTTTTAGCTGAGTGTTACCACTTCATATTTGGATACTACTCTCTCCGTTCTTTATTATAAGAGACAAATAACTAAATTACGTTGATTAAACAAACAGTTAAAATTAGTTGAGGACAATTAATGTGTAAAAAGTATAATGTTTTTTTTAACAATACCCCTATTAATAAGGAGAGAGAGTATGAAAGAGAACAATTAAATTATTAAAAGAAACAGAAGTAGGAGGGAGAGAGAGTATGAGTAGGAGACAATAAATAGAGGTAAAATAGTAAATCAATACAAAAAATTAAAGACAACTTTTAAGTGTCTCTTATATATGGAAACATGCCATAAGCATCAAATGTCTCTTATAATAAGGAACGGAGGGAGTATTACTTTAATCTTCAATATTATATTATACCGTGCTGGTCAAAAAAATATTATTCCCTCCGTTCCTTATTATAAGAGACGAATAACCGAATTACGTTGATTAAAAAAACAGTTAAAATTAGTTAAGAACAATCAATATGTAAAAGGTATAATTTTTTTTCTAAAAATACCCTCATTAATAAGGAGAGAAAACATGAGAGAGAACAATGGTAAATTATTAAAAGAAAGAGAAGTAGAAAGAGAGAGAGTGTGAGTTGGAGACAATAAATATGGGTAAAATAGGAAATCAACACAAAAAAGTAGAGACAACTTTTAAGTGTCTCTTATATATAGGAACATATCATAAGCATCAAATATCTCTTATAATAAGGAACGGAGGGAGTATATTATACCAGCTTCCGTATGGAGTTTTCATTTACTTTTAATGCACAAAGAGATATTTTTTAAAAAATAATATTTATTTATTATAAATAGTTAATTTTTTAATATATGTAAGTTAGTTATCTAACTCTTGAATTAGTGATAGGAGGTAATAATATAATATTACTTCTGATCTTAATTATAAGACCTCATTTATAATCTATAAATAAAGTCTTATAATTAGGACTGGGAATACTATTTTTTTAGATGTATTCAACACTTCAAAAAATTTTGATACATCCAACACCAAAACAAAAAAAAACTTGTGGTCCTTAATATAAATTCACTTTAATAAAGAAATTAAACTAAAATGAAACTTATATTAAAGAGCAAAGATAATAATGAGTACTAATGTCTACAAATTTATTCAAAGATAATAATGAGTACTAATGTCTACAAATTTACTTCATAAAAAAATTATTTCTATATTACCTAATCCTCCTGTTGACTGCTACTCATACTCCCCCTTTTATATCCATACTCTGGCGTATTTTCAGAAGCTTTTTCATTCATCAAATTAATGCTAGTAGGATAAAGATATGTAGCGGTTGTGTTTTGATCAGTACTCGTATTCCTCTGGTCTTATCTATAAATTACTCTTAATATATTTTATGCATATTAAAAAAAATATAAAATTTATTAACTCTCATTTAAAATTTAATAACTTTCTAATTTTATTTTTATTTAATATGTATTATATTCCATGTAAACAAAGTCAACATCAAAATAAAAAGTAAAATTATACATCTATATAAAAATTTCTCTCAATATCTTATAAATAAGAACAAAAAATTCTCTTTTTCTATCCTATAAATAAGATCATAGGAGTATTTTAGTACTTAAAAATTGGGGTCAGTAAAATAAAGAAAATAAAAATTGGTAGAGATCTGAACTGAAAACCATGTGGAAAGCAAAAATAAAGAAAAGGTGTTTTATTCCGGAGTGAAGCAAAAGCAAGAAAATCATTAGGTCACTAAGTTCGAGAAAGAACAGTTCAACCCACATGAAGAGCCTAATGCTACTCCACATTTCCATAAATATTTTTTTATTGCCTAATCATTTTATTTATGTCTTAATTAAGTATCTCTATTTCTCCCATCCTGCAATAATCCATACTAAAGTATAAACCGGGTGAAGCTACGCGACAAAAGCCACAGATTTTGGGGCCTTAAAAAAAGTTATAATGAAATTACAATAATTGGACCGCACACAATATGGAATATAAAATAATAATTGGAATGTTGACTTATTAAAAAATTATTGATCATTTTTTTTTGCAACGGGATTTCTCTTGTTGCATTTAATATAGTTGATGTGGTCTTATTATTGTCGGGTTCACTAAATACAGCTAGATGTTCTATGTGACTTATTATGGTAAAAGTTAAAAATATATTTCATCCCTCCAAATTTACCTGTCATGATTTCAATTTCATTTTATTTTTCAATATGTCATGTTTTAAATTTTAAAGTATAATTATTATTTATTTCTAATAATACTCTGATCATGCTTTTGTATGATATGTATTTTTTGTCCCCTATGAGGACAACGAATGTATATTTTTTTTCCCTATGAGGACAAGAAAAAAAAACATGGAGGAAACATTTTCTTAATGCACATTTACTATTTTAAGAGTCTTTTTTTTTTCAAAAGAAACGATTGTCACCTTATAAAGTTAATGTAATACTAATTTTCTTTTATTTCACCCTTTCTTTACTCCTCTCCATTTAATTAAAGAAAGAAAATGCTTTTGTAGTCCTATTTATAAGTCACTTCTAACATGTCTTATATAGACCAAAGAAAACTTTAAACTTTATTAACTCTCATTTAAAATTCAATAACTTTCTAATTTTATTCCTGTTTAATATACCGTATACCTCATGTAATCGAAATCAACACAATAATAAATGAAGGGTAAAATTATACTTTATGTAAAAAATATCTTCTCAATCTATTTTATAAATAGGATTAGAGGTGTATTGAATACCTTAATCCTTAAATATCTTTAAAAAAGTATTTATGGGTATATGATATGAGCAGAGAATTATTATTACATTTTATTAATTTTTTTTTATAAATTATATATGTATATCACTCATATATATGTCTGTGTGAGTGTGTGTGTGAAGATTTAATGGAATATATAATATATATTTAACATCGTGAGTTTCCAATCAAGTTGCGTAACGCCAAATCTCCACTCTGTGACTGACTGATCTTCCCTCTTCTGCTTTTGAAAAGCTTTTGCTTCTGCGGTACTCTGCACCATGTGTACGACCACACCCATTTCCTCTCCCTCTTCACCTCCCTACTCTCTCCCTCTCTCTCTCACCATCTAATCTGATTGTCTCATAATTTCCCGATTTTCTTCTGCTCATCTCAATCCAATTCCGGCCCCTCACCTCTCCCTTGCTTTGCTTCCTTCGGTAATCCATCGCTTCTTCCTCATTTTCACCCCAAGCAAAAAGGTCAATGCACCGACTCGTTTTCTCTTTTCTTGTGGATCTGCGTTTCTCCTCGGAGCTCATTCCCGTGTCTGAATCTGTACAAATCTGTCCCGGGTTCTCACAAGCGGAGTTGCATCTTTGAATGGTTTGTGAGTTTGTTCATGGGGTTCTGCTTCTCTTCTGATTCTTGCATTTTTCATTTGGGGCCTCAGAGGGTTGCGGCTTTTGTTCTGAGAACGAGCGGCTGATACGAGGCGTAAGTGAGCGTGAAATCATGACTTCGTTTTGAGTGGTTCTGATTTTGGATGCGTTTTGTCTTCTTGTTGGGTCTCCGAATGTGAAACAGAGGATAGAAAATAGATTCTGGCCTCTATGAACTCGTTCGTGCTTTTACTTACAAGTTTGGACCTGGAAGTTACTTCAAAATTCGGGTTAAATCATATGTCAGAGGCTTTATTTTTCTGAATTCAATACTTATTCTTCCTTCTATTTGTCTTTGCCTTGATCTCTCTGCATTTTAATTGATGATGGAGACTGATTATTTAATTGCATTGGGTTGCAGTTGCACAAGCAAAGCGTATTATTTTTGTCTGATATAGACAAAACTAGAGCATCCAGAGGACAAGAGTATGTGAGTATTTTATAAGAATTAGCTTTTGTCTTGGTTCTTAGTAGTATCTTATCTTATTAGCTTCTCAAATCTCAATGTTCTCATGAAATTTCTGCCACAGAATATCCCCCTCAGGACCCAGTCATGTACAGATCATTCATGACATGTGATGATCCAAAAGGAGTCGTGGAATGTGGGGCAATCAGAAAGTCCAGGTCTGGATCACAGAAGATGAAGGACAAGATGAAGAGCCGGAGGACGGCTGAGAAATCTGAAGCATCTTTTCCAAAAAAGTCAGACAGAGAAGAAATGGTCCCAAAAGGATCCACACAAAGTTCTGTCGATCCATCTTCCTTGCAGCTTATGGAGGTCTCTAGAGGGGCTCAAAGGTTGAACAACATGATTGATACATGGTCTAGGGATAGGAGATGTAATGGAAGGTCTGGAGATATCGCAAAAGATTTGTTGAAAGGAGCTCTTGATCTCCAAGAATCTCTAGTCATGCTTCGCAAGTTGCAAGAAGCTTCACAGCACAAGTCCTGTTCGAAGAAAAAACAGAATGAGAAACCTCAAAGAGGAAGAATTGATGCAAAGATGATGGATTACACTAACAAAGTCAGTGAACAAAGCTATCCAATGGGATATGAAAGACCTTGCCTTTCTGTTGATGGTTCTTCAAGAAATTGCACAGAGGAGCTTAAGAAAGTGATCAAAGACAGTCTGGTTAGGCAAAATCTGTTTACTATGCCAAGTTCTGAAGGATTAGATTCAGCATCTGAAATTCCCTCGACAAGCTCAAGCCAATCTTCTGGGATTCATACTGATAGGCTTTCTGATTCATCTTTTTCATCAGGCACTTCAAAGGTGAGGGGAAACAATCTAGTTGCCAAGCTAATGGGTTTAGAAGAAGCCCCCTCAAGACCACTTCCAGCTGCTGCGCAGAAACAGTTGCAAGGTGAAAAGATTCTGAATCAAAAGAGACCTACATTTGAGATAGATATCCCCAAGTTAAAGAAGACTAGTAATGTAATTGAGAAGGTTGATCCAGAACGAAGGAAGACCCTGAGTGAAATTCTTGACGCTATTCATTTCAAAGGATTCTTGAAGAAGAGTTCTGTCCTAGAGCCTAATCTTTGGATTCATCATTCCGATGATTACCATCCCAAACAAAGTGATGATTTACCGCCAATTGTACTTATGAAACCTCGATGTTGTTCATACCAGGAATCAATTAAATCCCCTGCACCTGTTCCTCCAAAACCAGAAGGTCTATCCCTCAGAAAACCAAAAGCGGAGGTAGTCCCTTCCAAATCATTTAAACAAAAAGGTTCCACCAGCATGGGGAGCAGTATGAAAGATGTAACCAAAAGGCTTACACATGAGGAAAAGCCTAGAATCCTCAACGAGTTCGTGAAACTGGATGAGAAAGCAATGATGCCCGTTGAAAAGTCTCCAAATATGGTGAAATCATATAGTCATATAAGTCATAAACCACAGGTACAGGAGGCAATTGAGAAAAAAGCTAAGGTGAAAACTGTTACAAAAAAGCTGCCAGAAAAGGAGATCATAAGGCCTAAAATTTTGACAAAGTCCCAAGATCGAGGAGAAATTACCTCCACAAAGTCGCGGACATCACCTAGTGAATTGACCATAATCAAGGAGATTCCCTGCCAGCATAGCACAGCTTTGATCATCAGCTCAAAGACAAAAACAACAAAGCATAAAGATTTCAAACAGAGAAAGAATCAGAATAATAGCCAGAAGCTCATTCCAGAGCCTGAAGCAGCTAAACCTATTGTAAGCCTATTTTCCTGTGTTTTGTTCCTCTTGGGTGATGTAGAAGTATTCAAAGTATCATGTAGAACCGAGTTTGATAGCATTATTACTTGATGATAAATGACTCAGTGAAGCAAGAATTTAAGTTTGAGGATTGATACAGTATTCTTCTGTACAGGATGAACAATCAGGACGGGAAGAAGAGAAGAGTGTTGCTGTTCCTTGTAAAGATGATTGCGCTGAGATTAGAACTATAGCTGAACATGCAGTTGAATTTCCAGTGGAACATGAAGTAGATGCCTCCCCGAGTAAGATAGATGGTTAGTTTTGCGTGTCTACTCACATATCATATTTATTGACAGTAATCCTTGTATTAATTTGAGAGTGCATCCCCTTGTTAATTTACAAAGCAATTTTGAAACAAGGTTGTTGGTTGAAATTCATAAATCATTCACCTGTCAGGGTGTCTTTAGTAGCAAATTCATTAATTATCAAAAGAGAAGTTCCTAGGTTTTCAGTGACTAGAAAGAATCAACATCAAAGGATACTGTTGGATGGTTGGAACCCATTCTAAAACATTTCTTTGAATAATATGTTAATGTTTAGCGGACACATGTTTAACCTTGGAGTTCTATCAAAACTGAGTAGATGTTTGGTAAATACTTATTCTATACATATAGAGGCAGTGCAATGGAAAGCTACTACAATTTATGTGAACGTTACATGGTGACATTAAGCACTATATAAATAGCTATATGCTGTCATTATCATCACAACAGCAATGAGCGAAGACCTTCTTGATTACATGACTAGAATTTCTTGCACTTCCTATATCCTTGTATAAATATTTGTTTGAATTTTCCCTCCCTTTGTATTATCATGCAGAAGATTGTTATCAGAGCTCGAACTCTTTAGGTAATGATGTTGCACCATTAAAGGTTGAGCACGGAATTGATGCTACTTCTGCTGAAGAAGCTTACGGTGGGGAGTCAGATAGCAATGCTGACAAACAAGGGGCTGAGCTGAAATATTTTCTTTTAACCAACCCATTATTTATTGGCCATGCAGAGGAGCTCCTCAATCTTGACGTGGATTGTCCCATGACCCAGCAAAAATATGAAATTAATGGGATAGCCAATCCCAGACTCTATTTGGATTGTGCGAAAGAACTCGCTGAGCGTAAAAGCCTGCAAGATTCACATCCGATCTTGCTAACTCGGGCAGGGAACTCAAGAGTACAGATCTCTTTAGACAAGTTGGTTGAAGAAATCTATAATGCCACTGAGAAGCTGAAGTTTTACACTATGATCTCTGCGGACAAATTCTCTGTAGATAATGTTTATGCCATGATGAAAAGAGATATAATGTGCCATGGGCTGATAAATGGAATATGGGACTGGGGTTGGAGGTATGGATTTTCTGCAGATGAATCTGAGCAAGTTGTCAACGAAGTAGAAGGCCTAGTTTTAAGTGGGTTGATTGAGGAGCTTATTGTGGATTTATGATTACATGTTATGAAACATGTGGATATGCAGTTTTCAATAGTCAACAACTAAACTATTGCATGTCATATAATGTCTGTACACGGAACAGTTTAGATTGAATTTGCATACATAAAACTCGTGCGTGAATTCAATTTTAGCTGTTCAAGTACAAACACTAGGCATGCAAAAAATTTCATATCTTACCATCTATTGGGGGTTTCTTTTAGGCCTAAACATAGAGGTTGATTAAACTGACCCAAAAAAGAAGGAATAGTCCGCTGACTGTGATATTCTGCCTTGGAAGGAACTAAGAGGGAGATTATATTTGTGGATTACATATCAAATGGCCGTTGAAATTTTAAAAAGAGAGGATTTAGTTAGAGCAATTTAGTTAAGCTTTTATGAATCAAGTATATTTCTTGTACCCTTCTCAAGTTGCCATATTCTTTGTGGCAGTAGTAAAACCGAGATGAATGCATATCAACATCTATTGCTTCAGTCTAGAAATTATCTGACTCGTAAAAAAATAACTAGCCAATTATATTTTTGATAATGAACTAGCGAATAATATTGTTTGCATAAATTAAAACTTACGCTAATTGTTGAGGGCATAAATTGATAAATTAGATAAACCCTTTAACCATAATGATGTGAATTGACGGAAAGAGCCATGTTTTCTCTTCTATTTTCCCAAAGTACTCTGCAAAAAGGTATGAACGAGTCAAAGGCTCCGTGCAGATATTACAACAATCAGACCTCCAAATGAAAGTGAAATTGTGAGCTACACCGTGTTGTTATCTATTCTCTTTTTCATGTCTTATGTTCAATACTGCTCTGGTTCTATTTATAAAATAGAGAAAATATATTTTTTAATCCTATTTATAGGATACTGAGAGAAATTTTTGTATAGAGGTATAATTTTACCCCTCATTTATTATTGTGTTGACTTTATTTATATGAAATATAATAGATATTAAATAGGGATAAATATGAAAAGTCATTAGAATTTTAAATGAGAGTTAATGAAATTTAAAGTTTTTCTTAACACGTGTGAAACATGTTAAAAATATTTTATAAATAGGATCAGAGAAGCATGTTATAGAAACGTAAACCAAATATTTGAATTGGACAGCTTAACAAAGACAGTACTTGCATTTATTGCCACGACTCTCCATTCTTATATGCCAGGTAAGTTTCCCACCATGGGGGGGCAAAAAAAAACTCACTTGATAATTGCATCTTTAAAATAAATATTTGGAGGAGTGCGTGAAGTTTTAGAGATGGATTTGAAGCAGGTAGGCAGAATATGTATTAATGTCAAATTCGTTACAAAGTCTCTCTGTCATTTTGACGTAACACTCCTATTTTGGCTAACACACTTGAGGCAGAGAGGATAGGAATCTGGAAAGTGAAAACTCTGCTTAGTGAAGATGATGGAGACAGTTCAACCTTCAGTCCCTTTGTGATATACACAAGTCTTATATCTCTCTGTACAAGGTTCATAATCATCCTCTGCTCGCCGTTCAAGAGAATCGAACACCGCCTATGTAATATAGCCTCTCTGATGTTCCCAGATTAAGAAGAGTCTCCTTTGAAGATCAGGAAATTAAGGGTTTCCAGAGAGAAGAAGATGAAAGTTCCAGGTGAGTGACTGAAAAAGCACCCAAAATTGGAACCCACCACACATTGCCACCCACCTCCATACATCTTATCAAACGCCTGAAAGATCCCACAACAAACCCATGAATCGATTCAAAGAAATAATCGAACCCCAGAAGCAAAGTTTGGATCTTGTTAAGCTGAAGCAAACTATTATTAGTTTACCTTCTTGATGTGAGCGGCAATAGAGACGCAATCAGAAACGTCAAAGAGATCAAGGGCATGAGAAGCAGAGGACATGGCTTGGATTTGCATCTTCAAAGGCATGTCTGCTTCTTTGACTGTAGCTTTCCCTTCCAACATCCTTTTTTTCGCCTATCAGAATCACTCTCAGTCACCGAGGAGTTCAATGAAAACACACACCTGTTGTTTTATGCGAGGATGCTCTGTCTCTTGTTTAAAGTGGAGACGGAGATCATGGGGTGGTGGGGGCAGATTCTATGGATGAGATTCTCGCAGCAAAAACTAAAACCAGCAGAGCGGAGATTCGTGCATAAATGGGAAATTGACCGATACGATAAGGTGGCATCAATTTGAGGGGGGCACGTAACTCAGCTATTTCTGCGTGCAATCCTGTCAGCATCTGCATATTTTCATTATTTTGCGAAGTGCTTGGAATATTGTATGGGGGAATGGGAATTAAAGTGGGGATAATTGAATAAATAATAGAAAAAACTGCTGAAAAATGCTCCATTGTAAATTTTATTAAACAAAGGTATCGAGTCGGGTTTACAATGTTAAGTGCAGTACATTTTCAGTTAACGTGATTCTTTTTTAAAGTATACAGTTTATCCTTATCTATGTACTACTTCCGGTCCTAATTATAAGAGTCAGTTAACTAATTTGAAGAAATTAAAGAAATAAGTTGAGTTAGTTATTTGTCCTAAATAAGTGTTGTCTTTTCTAAAATATCCCTATTGGGGAAAAAATGTATAAATATAAGAGACAAAATGGATTGGGGTCTTATATTTAGGATCAAAATAAAAATCAAACAAGATATTATATTAATGATCAGAGGTAGTAGCATGTAACAGATAAAAGACATTTGCTGGTACAAAAAAAAAACAGATAAAAGACATTTGTATATAATTAAAGATGCTTTATATACAAAAATGGTTGATCCTACTAAAAATAAGTTATATTCCTTTAAGGACCTAGATATTAGGTACCTTTTAGGTGATAAATTTGGTAATAGAGAATTTTTTAGCAATTTTCGGGAAATAATAACACCTTGAAAACTAAAAACCAAATAACCGATAATCTGGCTAAAAAAAGTTTCAAAAAATATAATTTAGAAATTCTTAAAGCTCATTTAAAAGCGTTGCGAATTTAAGTAGATTTACTTTCCGTTCAAACATTTTCAATTTATATATAGTTTAATCTTAGTTTTCAATATTTCTAAAATTAAAAAGTAAATATACAGTTGCCTGGATAAAAACCATATTTTTAAGATTATCTTATGTTCAGTGTTATTGGATCATATTTGAATATTGACACATCTCAAATGGAGATAAGATAATTATTCTAAAGATATTCTTTATATAGAAATAAGGGGAAATGGCAAATAAAGACCCTTGAAAATATAAAATGGCAATTTGGGTACTTCAATTCATAAAATTGCCATCAGAGACCGGGTCCTAGATTGCAATTATGAAATGAAGCTCAAATGACTAAAATGCCCTTCCTTTTCTCTTTCTTCCAGCACCTCATTTCTTTCTCTTTCCTTCTTCTCTTCCTCTCTCTCTTTGTCCTACTCTCCCTCTCTGGAAACGTAAATTTCTGACTTCCTTTCTCTCTCTCTCCCCCCCTCTTTCTTCTCTTTCCTTCTTCTACTCTCCTTCGATTTCATTCTTCTTCTCTAGAACCGTGACGTTCTTCTATGTTTTTCCCAACCCATTAATTTGCAATGGGAAAAATGAAAACATGTTAACCGTGTAGCTTCCATATTTAATTTTCTGCAAAACATGTAATGCTAATAGCCTAATATAGTACTCTTCATATAAAAGCTCTCATTCTCCATAATCTCTCTTTATTCTACAACCTCATCTCCTACTGATATACTCGAATTAACAACTGTTACCTCCTTTATTGTAAAAAACTGGTTGTTGTCAAAGAATTCTGGAAATTATCATTTACGAAGAGAAATGTAAACTTGTATAAAAACCTTATCAGAAGTGATAAGTTCACTATGACAAATGATAAGCTGAGTATGATAAATAACAAGTTCTCATAAGGTTTTCATACAATTTCAAATTTCTCTGTTAAAATGACTAAATTTTCATATTGATTTATGAAATGACAAGTTTACTATGGTAGATGACAAGTTGAGTTTGACAAATGACAAGTTCCCATAAGGTTTTCATACAATTTCAAATTTCTCTGTTAAAATGACTAAATTTTCATATTGATTTATGAAATGACAAGTTCACATAAGGTTTTCATACAATTTCAAATTTATCTGTTAAAATGACTGAATTTTCATATTGATTTACGAAGTGAAAAGTTTACTATGACAAATAACAAGTTGAATATGACAAATGATAAGTTCCCATAAGAATTTCATACAATTTTAAATTTCTCTATTGAAATAACTGAATTTCCACATTGATTTATAAAGTGACAGGTTAACTATGACAAATGACAAGTTGAATTTGGCAAATGACAAGTTTCCATAAGGTTTTTATACAATTTCAAATTTCTCTATCAAAATGACAGAATTTTCACGTTGATTTACGAAGTGACAAATTTACTATGGCAAATAACAAATTGAATTTGGCAAATGACAAGTTCCCATAATGTTTTCATATAATTTCAAATTTCTCCATTAAAATGATTGAATTTCTACATTGATTTACGAAGTGACAAGTTTACTATGGCAAATAACAAGTTGAGTTTGGCAAATGACAAGTCCCCATAAGGTTTTCATATAATTTCAAAAAAATGAATGAATTTTCACATTGATTTATGAAGTGACAAGTTTACTATGGCAAATAACAAGTTGAGTATAGCAAATGACAAGTTCCTATGAGATTTTCATACAATTTCAAATTTCTTCGTTAAAATGACTGAATTTTCATATTGACTTATGAAGTGACAAGTTTACTATGGCAAATGATAAGTTGAGTTTGGCAAATGACAAGTTCCATCAGGTTTTCACACAATTTCAAATTTCTCTGTCAAAATGACTGAATTTTCACATTGATTTACGAAGTAACGAGTTTACTATGACAAATGACAAATTGAGTATAGCAAATAACAAGTTCCCATAAGGTTTCATACAATTTCAAATTTATCTGTTGAAATTAAAATTTGCAGATTTCTGACAGCAACTACTTCTGATAAGCAGTAAATGACAAGTTTAGTAAGATTAATGACAAGTTCAGTGAGTTGAACCCCTTGTACAAGGAAACTAATTACGAGCTACACCTCATGCAATCTTGAGTCTTACATTCCATCATAAAGTTGACTTCCATTCCTCATTCACATGCAATGAATCATCCAAGCTTTCATTCTTTAAGGAGGAGTAGATTATGAACTTGTCACCACCAAATTGAAATGTATTTCCTAATCTAACCATAGTTCTCAAAGAATTTCTTGACACCTTGTTCCATTTGGAAGAATTATCCTGTATGCAAGACAAAATCCAATATGATCTTGGTATGTTTTCTGGGTATGTAAACACATAAAAGTTCAAACTATATA